AACTGGCCAGTGCGGAAGCGGGGAAGCAGGGGGCAGAACAGCTGGAGTGCTGCCCGGTTGGTCCCGTAGCTCTGCCCCTCGGGGCTGCGGGACCAACCCGGCAGCACCCCAGCTGCTCTATTGCAGGAATCCCCGATTCAGCTGCTGGTGAACCTGCCCGGCAGCGGCTGAATCAGGGACGCCTGGGGCAGAGCCAGGCTATCGTAAGGGGGGGCTATGAGGGGTCTGAGGTGGCATCCCCTCCCACCCCACTCCAGACCCCTCATAGTTCCCCCTTCTGATAGTCCGGCATAGCTGATAATCTGGCACCCCCTGGGTCCTAAAGGTGCTGGATTATCGGAAGTTTACTGAACCTGCCCGGCAGCGGCTGAATCAGGGACGCCTGGGGCAGAGCCAGGCTATCGTAAGGGGGGGCTATGAGGGGTCTGAGGTGGCATCCCCTCCCACCCCACTCCAGACCCCTCATAGTTCCCCCTTCTGATAGTCCGGCATAGCTGATAATCTGGCACCCCCTGGGTCCTAAAGGTGCTGGATTATCGGAAGTTTACTGTACATAGAAGATTTAACCTGGATAATTCTTGAATTCTAAGACTTTAAAAGCACCACAAATGTTCAATATAGAAATTCCATATTTCTGTATATTATTAACTCATAACTTAAACGTTACTTACAGAAAAAAGCATGTTCTTCTTATCTTGGTTCACAGCACGAGGATCAGGCACAGGATCAGTATGCTTAATAACAGAGACAGATTCACCTAAATAAAGGTTATACTGTTAATGGGAGCTTGTATGTATAATTTTAACTTTACTTGTAAACAGATCTAATAGGAAACACAGTATAAACTTACACTTCTTAATATATATTTTTCTTATGTCTTAGCAATTTGCATACACCTATCTTATTAAACCTATTAAAAAGTTTTTCCTGCGTGATGACTGAGTGATGTCATCATGTCACTGTGTACCTCAGCCACCCAGCCTCCTCCCTCTCACCTTCCTGCTGCTAACCCCATAATGACTCGAGAGATCTAAATATGGCTCTGACTCCTCAACAGCAGCACTCACCTTCCTTGCACCTTGAAGGTAAGCTGCCACTGGGGTTGTGGAAAAAGGATGAGAAGAGGGGGGCAGGATCACTTGGTGAGTGAACAAGCGGCCCATGGGAAGGGAGAGAGGGTCAGAAGTGAAGAACACCCTTCCCCCCTGAGCTGCTGCACAGCAGCTAGC